CAGGGGAGTTGACATCAACTGCATCATCTTTTGATAAGCGGGCACGAGACTTTACCAAAGCTAGATGTTGACGTGTGGAATGACCTTGTCTTTTGTTTGGTCCTGTTGGGAGGCTTGTGGATGAGTATTGGTAACAGATAATCAAACTGTCGGGCCAGATTCAGAGGTAGCTAATGTGAGTCATAGATTTGATTCAGATGTAAACAGACCAGATTGGATTGCGCACTGTAATTGTAGATGTGAAATTATCAAATCATCACTAGAATCTAAGGATATGGGATTAATAACCTGCAGCTCCTTTAATTGAGAGCAAATTGAGGTCCAAGGAAACATCTTCTGCAAGTTCTGGGCTCACCGTTTCAGCCCAACATGCATTGTTTTTTGCAGCCAGATGCATCGGAAATCCAGGTAGGCCTATGTTCATACCATCATTACAAATTGAGCAAGTTGTGGTTTCCTTTTTAAATATAATTCTGGGGAAAAGTTTCACTTTCTGTTTAATTAACGTTTCACAACTTGAGAGAACAAGTTGTTTACAGCAGTTTGTTCACTCCTATTACCTAACAATTACGGAATCATTTGGTTTGGTTTGGTTTTGTTTAGTTTGGTTTGGTTGGATTTGGGGGGGGGGGTGTTTCTCTCTAGTTAAATTTAATATTCATGCAACTTAACGATGAAAGAAATTTAATTTTATTTGTTTTCAATCCACAGCTATGCCATAGATTTTGTAATTCTGAGCATTTGTTTGTAAACAAGGATTGTTTGTAAACAATGACAGTTTGCCAACCTTGGTTGGCAATGGCAAACAATCTTGGCAAGTTGTTGTGTTATTTATCCATGGTTTGACATCAACAAGAGGATTAACGATTGAGAAGAAATGTATTGATCTATTCAAAGGAAAGAGCTATTATTAGACCTAGCTAAGCAGAAAACTTGTTTGTAAGAGGAACTGTTTTTCAGAATGGGAGAGCAAACATTTGCCAAGCTTGATAATGTTACTTTTGTTAGGCAATACTTATGTCTACCCCATGCAATCAACATCATAAATCTTACAGAGCAAAAATTTTCTTTGTTCTTGAAATAAATATGGTTCAGCTTCCCTATTTAGGAAGTTTTTTGGATTTAAGGGGGTTGTATGTCGTACAAGATGCAATTCCTCTTATTAAGAAATTTTCCAGATACTTTCTTTGTGATCAGCAAAGTTATAGACTTGACAAAGTGTCAAGGGAGTTTTGTTTGTAACCATCACAACACCTTGAATCGAGACTAAGGTAGCCCCCAAAACTCTGAGCTTTGTGACATTACACAATAACCTGAAATAGTTGTGATTCACCCTGGAAAATCCCTGTCCCAGCTGGTACAAAAACACTTTGTTACATCACACCCTCTGATTGGTTCATAGTCCAGTACTTATTTACATAGTTGAGTGTCATTGGTCAGTAGTAGTGTAACTTCAATGATTTGGTCTATGATTGGCACCTTGCAGAAATGTCCTTGTCAAGCTGTGTTTGTCACAGTCATGCATCAGTGAAGTCATTCTTATTCAAGTGTACTGACTATTCTTTATCCCTGGATAAGAGATTTCTGCCATGTTTTTTTCTAGGGATATTGAACGAGAAATGGTTAGTAAAAACAAATCTGTGAGCTGACCTGTTAAGTTATCAATTTGTACTTGCTACAAGTGTGTTTCTGTGTCCGCCCCTTGAATTATCCATGTTTTGACGCCTCGCCCTCAAAAAAAAAGATTATGCGGTTTGTCCTTGCTGCTGACAGATTTATGACAATTGTTTGGGGAGAAGAGAGAAATGACAAACAGAAATATTTAATTGAATCATCAAAAAATCATACACGAATTATGGCGTGTATGGCATCCTACAGACTTTATTCATAATTCCTATTGCATCAGCCATCCAAATTAAAACAATCAATAGAGGCCTACAATGTATGTATCGGATTAGACGATTGGCTCTTTCATATTTTCACAGGTTTTTTAGTTGTCGTCACAGATAGCGTGTATGAATGTGACACACCATCTGTTACATGCCCCGTCATCTGGTGTTCTGGGTGGAGTCACTTATTACCGCTTAGCTGGTTAACAAGTGGAAGCATCCTCACCGCAATATTTTCATGACCAGATGTTTCTCCGGTTTTGCTGGTCATTATAAACAAAACCACTGTGACTATTCATTAGTAGGACTTAGCCCGATGTACATAAACCTTGTAAATATTCCGGAAAGGTGAGATGAACTTTTTTCAATCATACATATTTTTTTACATCATTCCTCCATGGTTACATCAGCCAGAATTGTATAAACAGTGCTGTAAATTTTACGTAATGGCAAATGTAAGTGTAGGAATGGTTGTGGGGGATGAGTTTTAAACTGTTTGAGAATGGGTTGCCTCCTTCCAACCCTTGAGTATGTGCCAGCCCCCAAAAAAGTTACAATATTTTTTAAAACAGTCAAGTTTTACAATTTTCTGAAAGGTTATCACCTACATTTACAAATGATTCAGATTGTTACATGTACTTTAAATATTAGAATTAGTGAACTTGCTTATATTTCAACAACAGCCCCCCCCCAAAAAAAAACCTCTGCTAATTCTAATTCTAAAGTTTAACATTTTCCTTTCAAATGTTCTTATCATTGACCTCCAAATAAAACACAAGATTTATTTTCAGATCAAAACAAACCTGACCCCTAGAGCCATGATAGTAGACGCCCATTGTGTACAAATCAAACCCAAGGGGGTCAGCTTTGAGCAATCACCAGGGGATCTCATTAGCATTTTGGTAGACCTCTTAAAGTAGGTCAACATTTTACATGGAGAGTAAGCTTGCAGGTGACCTTTAGCTGATTGTGCCTGCATGGGGGTGTTCTTCATAATGTTTGGATTGTAGTGGGAGTGATGATGCAGTGAGGGGGGGGGGGGAGTTCTTGAACAGGAATGGAGTAGATGGTATCTTTTAATTTGGAAAGTTATCCGTGAATCATCTTGATGGCGCAAGTAGGGCATCTGATGTCACCAGTGACCCGACCCCCTTCCCATTGGAAGTCCAAACAGTTACTAGTTTACTTCCTTTTGTGCAAACTGCAATGCTTCCTGATTTGTTGCCCAATTATAGAGATATCATCAGTTTGTTCTAAGAGTGGATTAAGTTCTAAAACTTCTCTCCAGCAAGAGGGAAGTAGATGAATGATATTTTTGATGAAAGTAGGGCTCCTGATGGCTCCGTGAACTGACCCCATTTCAGTGGGAGGTCCAATAATTTGTTGCTTTTCCTTTTGTCAGTTTCCAAGCTGTTTCACTTCCTAATTTGTCCCCTAATTAGAGACATTATCAGTTTATTCTTAGAGCCTCTTAGAGTTTATTCTTAGAGAACTCTCTCATTGTAATACTCATTGTTCCTCTTTATATGTCCACCTATTAGAAACATTATCGGCTTGTTGCAGAGTGTCTTCTTATAGTTCTATTCCTGAGTTGCCAACTGTCTCTTTGTAAGCAATGAATGTTTTGAGATGCCAGACTTTTTCCCTCCAGGTGATGTTGCATGGGTCCCCATTGACTGCTGAATTACTTGTCAAATCACTGTTGTCAGTGCCTATATGCCTCACCTCTGACTGAACCAGCTGTGTTTACAACTACAGCTAGTGTGTCAGCCCCTGGTTGCGTGTGTTCCATTGTCTGTCTGGTTTGTTATTATGAAAGATCACTGACCGCAAAAAGCCTGCAAAGCCTGCAAAGCCGGCTGCGCAGTAACAATCTCTGGGCCCAAGGTGCTGATACAAACAGCATTGTGCTATGAGATGGTCTTTCTGTAATGTTTAGTAACCAAGTCTAGCCAAAGTTTCTCTGCAGGGTCTCAGCTGTTGTACTAGGGTTCCACGAGTTGATAATTGGGTCCGTTGCTTGTGTCTATCCGTGGTTTTATCAATAAAAGTACAAAGTGTTTGGGTCAGTGGTAGTAAAATGTGGTTAAACCAAGGATTACAGGTGAGTAGACTGCATGTAATTAGACCACTTCTTTTTAACTGGATTGATATTTCAGCTCTGGCGAACATGTTTTTAAACTACTCATTTGTGTACTCATCAATGCATGCTACCCAATTAGCACAATTACAAGCACCGTATTATCATCATACACTTACACTGAGTCTTTGTTGTGAAGGGATTTTAGCTAGCACATTTATTGATTTTTTGCACTTACCCTGGGATAGTCCTTCACAGAAGCCAGCGAGTTGAAAAGTTCAAAGTTATTTCCTTCTTGAGTGTATTGGCCCTTAGAGCAGTGGTATTCACTCTGAAAAGGAAGAGCGGATTTGGGGGAAAAAATCTATGAAGGTCTGGTGGAGAAAAGACCCCGTTAATTTGGCAGAAAGTGAGTGGCACACACAGTGGACATGTTGGGACCTGCCCACACAGCAGGCGGCAGTCAAGAATTGCGTACATTTTGCAATGTATTAATATAGGGGAGAAAAAAATGTTACTTTTGTTGTGAGTTTGTGAACGAACAAAAAAACTACTCCTGGGGTCGTGATCTGATAGGCTGGCCAAAATAGAACTAATGCCCCATTGGACAAAGAAACTTTCTGCACGTGCTCTAGAGTTTGCAAATAAATTGTGAAGAGATTGGGTCCGAGTAGAGATTTAGTTTGTCCTTGTCTTTTTGACAATAATTGGTCAAGTATTGTTGGACTTCCATGCTGATCAAATTAAAACTGAAGATGACCTCAAGCTCCTCAAGGTAGGATTGTTTACAATCAAGAGTTCAGGTTAACCCTTGAATGGTTTGGGTCAGAAGTTGTTTGTGCTTAAAAGAGAGCCACAACTTATTGTTTTACAGTGGCAGTTTGTATTGATTGTGCCATTGATTCCATCCTTTGTTTCCACGAGGTATTGTCTTCCTGATCATCTTCAGTCCTCTTACTATCAATTGTCTAGCCATAAATGACTCATCCAATATTGATTTCTCGTAAAATCCGTTCTTTTCTTTCCAACAGCACACTGCTGTATTATGAGTGAGCTGGAGATCCGAGTGCGGACGCGACTACGCAAACGGACAGACATCGGCCAGATACTTCCTGAGTCCTATCAGTCAGCTTGGACTGACCAAACCTGCCTTGACCACAGTGACCAACCTTTGAGGTATTGTAATCCAGTCTACAAACACAGAGTCACCATAGAGCTGGATCCAGAGACCTTACAGATGATGCAGAAGGAGAATGTGGAGGATGCTTGCATTGATGTGGAGATTTCAGATGATGAGGTGATGATGATGGATGATGTAGAAGAATCTGACACATTTGAAGGATTTGAATCCTCACCGTTGAGTGTTCCATCTCAGACTGATTCCCCAAACAATGCCACCTCATCACCCATCAACATCCCAGGCAACTCGGGACAGGAAGGCCCAAGAACACGACGGGTCAGTTCAGGAGGAACGCCTACCCATACCTTGAGCTACCTCGGGCGGATGTTCCCTGGAGCACACTGTGACTCCTCCCCCTTATCATCTGGCTATGGCTCCGCCCCTAGATACTTCTATTCTGCCGCCACTCAGACTCCCCCATCAACTCCGGTCTTCTGCGAGACGTTAATTCGTTTACGAATCTCAAGTCTATCAAGTAACCCAAGCGACGGAAGAAACCAACAAGTGATGAGAAGACGGATGCAAGGTAAGAATTACTCTACACACAGTACAGTTTCATTTCATGTAAAACCCCAACTTAAAATATTCTTCTAAAGTAGGGGATTTGTAGTTGATAAATAGCTAATAATAGTTTTTTTTTCATTGCAAGCTAATTTTGGTCCATAGGTCTCTCTTAAATGACGTCATTTCCTACAAAACAGCCACGTGCATCGGCATTTTGAGCGTACCTGCATAACGCGCATGGGCTGCATCATACATGTATTTCGAACACATTTAAAGCAACAAGCAGGCGTATTTTCAACACTGTGTGTGCAATGCGTGCTTGATTGCGTAAAATACGCAGTTGCAGTTCTACAGAGATGGCCATCTTTGAGAGAGACCTACCGGGTATTCACAATAGTATAAGAGATGATTTTTTACAATGATCGTTTTACTTAAAGTTTGTTTGGTGTACAAATATGCAGGCAAAATAAATGTGGTTCTATGAGGCATTTTTTCATGTTAAAAAGGGGTGGAGCAAGATTTATTCATTTCCTGTCCGAATATTTATACGATGAGTCATTCATAAATTTGTCCACAGGAACTTTTCGATTTTACTATCCAAATGCCTCCAGGCATATACCGGTACCAGCACATTTTCAAGTCAAATTCATACTGCCAACAGCTTCAATAGCACCACTGCATAGAAAGACCCATGAATGGCTCTCGAAACCCTCAAAAATATGGAAATATGGAAAGCAATCAATGACGTTAGGTTGATCAGGTTTACAACTTCCATTGCAAACTTCCCCTTTGAGTTTGAAGTAGAATAGGAAGTCCAACACCTGTTGTCACGGTGATTCATCCATTCATGTTTATTGCTTGCATTTATAATGCAAGTAATAAAAATGAAAATGTCATCATCTGATCATCAGCATGTTCAGACTTGTCTTCCATTCACCAAGTCAGCAATTTGGTATTTTCTGAAATACGAGAATGGAACAGATGGGACAAGAAAAAATGAAAAATCAATAGGCTTGTATAAATAGTGAAAAAAAGTGACATCATGCTTACTGAATTTGGTTCTAAAGTATTAGGCCCTATTCTTGGGAACAGTTTGCCCCTAAACTGTTTTCAGCATTTTGAGTCCTAACAATTTGTTGCAGTTTTGAGTGTGTTACAATACTAGAATTGAGTAAGTGGAGCAGTGGAGTTTTCTTTTGTTCAAAGTCTATGAAGTTTTTTTGTGGTTGTTTGGAATGTGTGGTTCTTTTTCTGCATGGCTGAGATGACAAACTTTATCCCTATCTTTATAGCGTGAGATTTGACAGAGTTCCATAAATGATTCCAAAGTGTCCCCATTTCCCATTGTATCAAAACCACAGGAAATTATCTCCTGGCTTTCACAATATTACTGACCACAACTAAGACAGACAGACAAAACCTTCAACAACTGACCTGAGATTTGGGGGGTCACAAGTATAAAGTTTGGAAAGGCTCGAAAGATTTTATGGCTCTAAGTTTGAATAATCGATTGTCAGCTGATAAATAGTTATCTAGTAGGCCTACTATATTTAACTATCCGCCCCTATTAATAATAAAAACGCATGTATATTTAACTAGATTGTATGCTAAACTTGGAGCCAGAGGTTTTATTATTATGCTAATATTGACCTACGGTCATCGGTTGACCTGATGCAAGGTCAGTTGAGCAATTAGGGAAGACATTAAATTAATCGAGTGTGTGAAGACCGTTGACACTTAATAGGGTCGACAATGATCATTGAACCTGGTGGTGGGCAGCGTATAGTTGGACTTGGTGATAGTAGATTTGATTATATGACACCCAGATATGTGTAGTTGGGATAAAGAATACCTTTAAATATTATTCTAAACTTATGATCCTGAATTTCAAACCCACCATGAAATGTTTGTCCCATCCCATGTCATTTGTTTCCGTTTACTTTCTTTTTAAATGATTGTTTACATTTTTTGGTTACTTGCTATCTCTTATGAATTGCCTATCCTCAAAAATGTAACAATCTGAAGAGAGTTGGGATTTGGTAACGAAAATATACATGTATACATCATATGAATTGATTTTAACAAGTCACTGAGTTTGAGTCATTAGTAGACCATCCGGGACATCAGTGTTGATGATAACATGACTTCAACACTTCAGTTGTTTTGGTAGAGGTTTAGATATTTGGAATTTAGTGACCATTGTCCGACTCATTTACAATAAATGGAGTCACACCAGGCATGGTTCTCATCCAGTGTCTCTTGTTTGTCAGTATCGCTTGACCTGACTGTGAGGTCAACCAAGCAATTATCACATCTGTAAGGAATTTGAAGTCATCATAGAGGAGGGATGAATAACCTTTGTAATGATAATCAGTTGCATATGTTTAATGTAGGTCAGTTCTGTTTATTCACAGATCATTCTTCAACTTCTTTTTTCTTCTTTAATTTTATGGTGAGTTCTAATCTGCATTTAGGTTACTAAGTTAGGTCAATGACTTTTTCTGTGTAATAGCATTTAGTTGATATTAGATTTGTGTCAAATCTCATGAAGCTGTAATTACTTTTTTTGTATTAAGAAATATACCCTGCAATATACGCACAACTTTCCACCCACGCCGTTTAATTTAACATCCTCTGCAATCCTTGCAGTTTGAGAAAATTGTTGCCATAGGCCTAAAATAAGAAAATCATTGCTTTGGATTTAGGTTATGGGATCTCTTTCTAATTGTTCAGTCGCGTTGCACAAGACTTGTATTTCCTGGTCAAAATGTCCAGGTCCTTTGTTTTGATTGACAGGATGTGGTCATCTACACCTCAAGGTTGAAAAGCCCTCGTCTCATCCGTGGTCACCTGCTCGAAAAACTAAAGTACATTGTACCATCATAAGTAGATATAAAAAAAAAAATTGATGGTACAATTTCAGTGCTATTTCTTCTGTTTTTTTAGGGGGGGGGGATTAAAGGTTTGAAATTAATTCTAAAATTAAATTATAGAAACTGAATAGAAATTGAAATGAAAAATCCCTTGTTCAAAAACTTTTCTACTTGCACAGAATAACATGGAAAAAGTCCATTCATGTAGTTCTTGAAAATGATTTTTTTTTTTCAAATGAAAGAAAAACAATCGTTTTCACTGCAGTTGTAAGGTATTCTTTTTTAATAGGTCAAGCTATAAAAGGTTACATTAAAAAAATAGCAACGTATGAATTAGCATAATTCACATTTTAAGGCGTCCTCTAAAATCAGGGTATTTTTTGCCCTGATTGTAACCGCCCCTTTGTTATGAGCAGACAATGACTAGAGTTAAGCTCTGCTTTTACATAGATCCCCGTTGTACTTTGCCTCACAATGGATGATTTGTGTTTGTTAGGCCAACCATTTCATTTTCAATTTTTTTGCATTCAACTTTAAAGAGTAAGGCCTACCAGTCAAATTGGCTTGCATTTCATAAACTCAATTGATGTATTTCTCATTCAAAATCAAAAATGCCAAAAGTGGTTCTCTTTGTTCATGGCGGATTAGTTTGTCTGGCCCACACCGACCAGTTGAGCCTCTCTGCACTTGACTGCCCATCATTCAGGTGTGCTTAGCGAGGTACCGCCTCTGAATCATAACAATGAATTGCTACCTGTTGTGCAATGCATTCAGCAGGAGTTTGGCAAGATGTCAACATTTTGTGGTACAGCTAGGGCAACAAAAGGACAAATTACCTTATTAAGTCAAGCTACTACACAGACAAGTTACAAAACATGTACCGGTACTTCCTCCGCAAGTGATCTAGGTACCTGGAGAAGATATGATCACTTGTAGGACTTGTTTACCACTATCATTGTAAAAAGTTAAAAAACATTTCTTATGAACAAAAAAATGTTGCTTAATTCAGATGCAGAGCACAGCACTTACATGCAAGGAGGAGTTTGCAGGATTGAGGTTACATTCTCGCAAAAGTGCCTAGGGAGTTAAAATAAGTGTGAATGTGCCTAGAGCATTTTTTTTATTATTAACTAGGGAAAATATTTTAAACAAGGGGGCAAATGTTTGGAAAAAGATTGCCCTGTTTAATTGTAGCACACTAGGCAAATAGTTGTGTATTCTCCAAATAAAACAGGTTTATACACATCAGACCTTTGACTCCTTTCAAGTGCAACTATACACTCGATATGTGCGCTAGTCGGTTAGCAGGTTTTTTAACAATTTATTTAAGGTTAGATTTTTGTCAACTTTGGACTTTGTAAATTGATCCTTTGTTTTGTTTTCCAAACCAAGTTTAAAAGATCACTAGGACAAAAGAAAAGTTAACTATACATGTAGCTAAATTCATTGAAATTAATGATTTAAAAACTGAAATTAAGGAAGTACTATTTTAATTGGGACAATGTCGAATATTTACATGTCTCATATATTTATTTGTGCAGCTTTTGGTTCAGTTATATTCATTGGAAGTTCCACACTAACTTGTGTGCATTGACCTTGTACATGTACCGGTACGTACAAGCCATCACACGTACTGGTACCCTACACTATAATGCACCGTATATAGTTATGGAGTATGGGTCGACATTTTGCTTTTCACTATTGAAGCTACTATTGTAGTGAAGTACAGTCTGCATCAGCATAATACTTGAATACCTACATGTACCTGTTGAAGTCTACAGTACACTGTTTGTGGCACTTGAACTAGTGGACCTTCAGCTGAATGTTATCACTTTAAAATAGTTTTATACGCTTCCATATGGAAGCTGCTACATGTACATGTACGGTAGTAGGTGTGTCTGTTTGTCCTTGTGCCAACACGGGACCATAAAGCATTGGATAAAACCTACAGTAAGATACACACTCAATGCACTGTCTGACTATGGAAGTGAATGTACATGTTGTACTAGGGCACGTGAATAGGACGAGCAGCAAAGTTTGGACGCCATCTGCTATATGTTTGTGCCAAGTATGGATCAGTCAAGAAGGAAAAAAAGGAATAAAATGAAACCTGTGGTGGAGAAGGATTCGTGTAAAAATGAAGGTACCGGTATATATATATATATATATATCATTCCTAGCGTTCTCTTTACATGTAATGTTGGGGAAAGGTGAGCATGTAACTTGATTTCATATGGGACAGAAGGAAGTAAGATATCTTGGGGAGGGTCTGCCTCAATGTTTGTCCTGACGCACCCATTCCCTAGTCTGCAGTATCACCCGTTGTCCAACGGAGCTAGACCTCTCTGTATCCAACGTCTGATATGATGTCTGAGCAGTGTAAATATCCGACCATGCATGCAAGCCATTCGGAGTCGACTTTTAAACTTGTGACGTCAGTTCGATCAGAAAGGTGAACTAAGCTATTGATTGGTCAATTTGGCTGACATATTTTGTAATACAACAATAATTACAGATTCCATCTTATAATAATTACAGAAGACCCAATACAAGGTGCCCGCTGAATGATCATAATCTTGAGAGCTCTGTTAGTTTTCTTGTGGGTAGGGAAGGGCATAGTCTTCTCTCAACATTCCCCTTACTTCATTACCAAATACTTTTACTACCTGCACTTAGAAAACATCTAGCAGACATGTTTTGCCCGTCACATTTGTCAACATCGTCTTCATAGTGTTTGAGATAGAATTACATATGCCACTGACATATCACCCACAAATGTCAGTTAACTTGGTTGATCATTGATTAGTGTTTATCATACATATTTGTCTAGCTGGCGGATTAGTAAGTTGCATTGTTACATCATTCAAGGTAACTTGTCCAGGTGTTGAGCAAATTTACCGTTGCACAAAACAAATCAAATTTGTTGTGTCATCAAGAGAGATGGCATCATAGAAATAGAAAAGGTAAATAAACAAAGAAGTGCCTATTCAGATATGCAAAAAATCAATAACAGAATAAGTAAAAAAAAAAAGGAACTTGCAGAACATGGCCTTATGACACATTTGACAGCTTTTGAACCAGGCCAATCTGAGCAGATGAGCTGTACAATGATCATTAGATTGTTAGAAAAGTTAGTGGGAAGACCACCAGATGTTGCAACTTTAGACACGCAACACCGGAAGCCTGCCGAACCGGAAGAACAATGCTTATCTCGACAAACACTACATAAAAATGTGTAATTCAATGTTGATGAGTATATTGATTAAAGGTATTCCAGTTCAGTTGTACACATTTGATTGCACTTCTCACAGCATGTATCATTTTCATTTTGTCATCAAAAGAAGGTAAAATTTTCCAAAACACCCCCCCCCCAAAAAAAAAACGATTGGCAGACCAATTAAAGTATTGAATATTTGTTTGTAGTTTGCTCAGTAAAAAAAAAGTATCATGGAAGCCGTGGCTCCGATCTTGTACTTTTTAACAGACTTGGGAAATTAATATTTAGGGCGGACTTTTTCAGGGTTTTCTTTTCATGAGGACAAGGAAGAGACAATTGATATCAGTTTTGCCTTGATGTATGGTTTTGAATTCCTATGATAACATACCGAAGGTTGCCTATTAAACATAATTTCCGCTTCTGTCCACTTCTGAACGGAAGTGTGGTTTGGAAGCGCTGTAGTTCACAGTAAACAGGAAGAAATATCTCGATTTGGTTGGACAGCACTGATCAATCTAGCAGCATGGGGGAATTTAATGTGCCAGTCAGTGATCAGGGCCTGCGTCTTAGATATGGGGTAACATTACAATGTACATTCAATTGAACTTAAGAACAATGCTAAAATTTCAGGTGCATTTACAAATTGTTTACAAATGTGCTAAATAGAATGAACAGTGAAGTTATAAGTTTCTTGCAAAAAGCTAAATGAAATGTGATTAAAGTATAACACAGTTTCTCTCCAAAGTAAAATAAACGATTCAGTCAATTTAGGTACAAATTTAAGTAGTGTTGTGGTGTTCTGATCATTTTTACATGGGCTTAAATTAAAGAAAACAGACTTCACAAGTCGCATTTTGGGCACGTAGAAGTGAGGTCTAAGACAATTGTGGTGATTCTGAGCTATAGCCGGTAAGCCGGGCCTATCTAAAAGAATTGGCATGGGTAGTTGCAGACCTGCCCCTTTTGTGACCCTTACTAACTACATGTACCCCAAGGTATAAATGGGTTTATCTGGAGGTTAGCTCATGAGGAGGTACAACACTATCAGTCATGCTAAATTTGGAGTTTATCATAGTCACAATGCCCATGCTGCCCAACCAACACACTTAGAAGTGGTTTCAAGTTTTGGCAAGCTGCCAGCAAACTTGCAGAACAGACTACCTTGAGTTACGAGATATGCTGTACCATCAGTTTTAAAAGTCAAATGGCCTAGGCTGTGCTAAATGCCCTTTTGTGGCTATAAAAAAAAGTATCCTCACCGCATTTGCTTGGCCTGGGCAACTAGGGTTTATTATTGGCCTGCCTGTAGATTTTTTGTTTTGATGGTTATTTCCATATTTTTTTTATCTGGAGGCCAGTTGGGAGTGACTATTTTTAGGCTTTGCCCCTGGGCAACTGGCTAAACTCTCTTAGAGGCACCTCCCAGATGTAACCTATTGTATGTTAATGAAGCAGAGCTGGCATGGTAATAGCCAATCAGAGAGCTGGATTCAGATGGCTGGGTAAACCAGGTGGCTGAGGTAGAAGGATTAGAGATGGAAGCAATAACACTTGGTGACGTGGCTTTGTGCTGTGGTTGCATGCTGTATCTGTCAATCATGAACCTGTACACATCAAGGCAGACTGAGCTGGGGCCAGAGAGTAAACTCCTTTGTCATTGGGTATTCCCCACTCAATCAGTTTACTAGTTGATTGGTGGTAGGACCACCGTACCCCCCCCCCCCCCCAATCCTTACACAGCTTCAGACAGAATCCCTTTGTGTAAAGCTAGGAATCGATATTAATATTCATTGGTGACAGAGCAAGAAATGATAATCACTCTGCAAACAGTATTACTCGAATAGGGGGACTCCAAAGTGTTGGTCAATCAATAGGCTAACCTCTATGACCAAACTTGTCCAGACGAGTTTACAAAAGGAATAACATAAAGGAAAAACTGGTCCCTTAAATACCTTTGTCGCATGTAGTTGGCGAGAGGCGATGTCATGTCTATTAATAGCACCTCACTTGTAAACAAATTGGAGCAAGCAGTGACTGGCATTGCAACAGTCATTATGGAGCGTGTTTTTTAGTTTTTGTTTTATGATCAGTGAGGAAGGATCTGATACACCTTATCCCAGAGGATTTATATTTAACATGTGTTGTGATAATAAACACTTGATAAAAATGGGTGAGTTTTGATTTAGTACGGTTTTCATAATTAAACAAAAAAAGTTTTCATTTTCAAATGATGGGTCAATCTTTGTTTCATTTTATTGTAAATGTTAGTTGTTTCATTGAGACTAACATTAATTTGTTACTTTCTAAATTCAAGGTATTTTTTGTTTGTATGTGTTTTTTTTGGGGGGGTGGTGGTGTTTTCTGTTGGAACTTTTTATAAGATTGTTACGAACCTGCCCTCGTTAAAGGGTAGATTCAGTTTGTGTGTTATTTTGTTAAATTGTAGGTTTCAGCAGAGATATACTGGTATCTCTATGGAGTTAATGCTATTTGTCCATTAGGAACTGCGAACAAAAAGGCCTATTTTTCTTTCTTCTTAATTGCATCAGCTGAACTACATTAGGTAGAACACCCCTCGCCCAGAAAAGTAAATAGTAACTACATGGACAATGGAAAGCAATATTCAGACGTTTTTGCTTGTTGCATTTAAGATGCTAGTTGAGAGATTTATAATGCACCACTCTATCAATTGCCTTAATAGATAACTTTTGTCTCGGTGGAAATCAAAGTTTGGATGCGGAAAATTAAAAATGAAGTGCAGACTGCATATGACTGTATTATGACTGTTTCAATTTTATTTGATTTTTCTCAGCAGATAGAAGATCACGCGGCCGTGTCTACTCAGAGAATAATGGAGATGATCCGAGAGCAGATGATGGGGAGGAAGGCAACATAGAGAACATGGAGGGTGTCTTGGGGATGCCACTACCTGACCTGGTCGCCTTCCGAGATCGAGCCAACTCAGCTCCTAGTAACCTGATGAGACCAGAGATCAGAGTAGGGAGACAGCTGCGAAGGATCAGTGATGAATTCCACCTGACGTATTATGACCAACAGGTGAGAGAATGATGGTCGTTAGCTTTGACAAATCAGGATGGGAAGAGGGAGAGGGGACGTCTTTGGGGATAGGGAAGATAGGACCCTAAGGGAAGGATTTTCAGCCCATCATAGCTTCAAAAGCTTCCAAACTCTATACAATATCCACAAAATAAAACCTTCATAAATCCCCCAAAATAACTTGCTCAGGTTATAAGTGCTGGGGAGGACATTTTGCTTGGAGATTGGCTTTCACAACAAACTTATAAAAACATCCAACAATACTTGTGACTGAAAAGTTTGAGGGCAAATTGGATTGATTTTATAAATAGATAAATATAAAACAGATATGATTTATTTAGGATTCATATCCCTTATGTGTTAGTCTCGATCGTGATTCTGTAAAAACCTTGTTTTTATTTTGCTTGGCACAGGTCGCGTTGTCTCCTCTTTTTTTAATATGTTTGATTACCTCATGATTGCCTCATGATTGACTCACAATTATTACACCTGTTATAAATGTAATCAAAGAGGACTATTCTTTGATACATAATTGACGTATTGGTTGTAGTCTTTAAGCCATGCTGTCCTACTCCCAGAGTTTATAAATGGCTTTTAGTAAGCGGCAAAGCCATCTTTGGAAATTGGTTCAAAATTAAGCAAATCAAATTCATGTGATAAAAAAAGCAAGGCAACTTTTTGGCTCCTGCTAAATTTTATGGATTTTTTTCCCTGGCAGTTGGAAGGGATGGATTTGTTATAATCCATTCATGTTGGAAAGCACAGGGACTTACTGGATTACTCAAATCATTCCCGTTTGCTTCTTATCGTCGGTCGTTCATTAGCGGGATCGCGTGCCCTTGTACCACCTGTTTTTACAGTTACCGTGACGATCTAAATTGTGCCTCCTGGAGCAATTTAGAGGAGCCAAGGGGCCAAGCTGATGCTGTATAATTTGATATGATACCAGCGCCGCAAGCTGAAAATATGCCGGATTTAACGGTGGGTTTACTCACGCGTGAAATACCTGGGCCTTGCCAAAGATGATTTTTATTTGGTTAGGGGTTCAGGATATGGCAAATTATCTAACAGTTGATATTTCAGCAGACCGACAAATTGTGTAGCCTCAGGCAAGGATGTTAGATCATGTGTAAAGATTTGAGCAGATTTCCAATGGACAGTACCTGAGTAGTCTGAATTCCTACAAATATCCAGATCCAGGGTTTTAGTTAAATTTAATAACCAGAGTCCGAGAAACCACTTTAAGTACAAAGTTTCTCTCTCCAACTGAATCAAGACTCAAACTCAAATTTCATTAAAACTCCTGTGTAATTCGTCTTCAGTATTTTGAATTTTGTGTAAGGTCATGATTTTACTAGGTGGCTCAAAACTGTTTGAGAGCTCAACTAGAATTCACTTTTTATGTAACAGCCAAAGAACTTAGATGTTAAAAAGTGCATGGCAATGTCATGTCCAATGTGGTCTCTTATTTTTGTGGTAAACCTGGCATGCAATACTATCCTTCTATTTGAAGTGGTTGCATAAAAAGTTCCTCTCATTTGCATAATTCATCCAGGGTTGTATTTTAGAGCTTCCCAGGTCCACTGGGGAAAAACAAAGGAAGAAGAATTAAAGTTCATGTGTGACAGCTGGTATGAATGATGTGATAGTCTCGGTTGTTCACACTGAAAAAATGGAAAGCGGAAGTTGAACGAGGTGTTTTCAGACCTCCAATAACCTTCCTTGCTGTCAATAACAATTACTTTATCTTTGACCAATTAGACGGCAGGATGCGAAATAATCTCGGAAAGTGATGTATAGGGCTGGGAACTACACTATGAAAAGAGCTTACTCGGATGTTGACCAGAGGCAGCCTGAAAAGAATTAAGATCTTAATTGAAAGATAACTTTGCTTGAAAAATATTTGTTTTTGAAGCAACAAACTAAATGACAGTGCAGTTTCAAATTGTGTTATTAGTTAAATCAGTTCAACCATTATTGATACTCACCACATATGAACTCAAATCATATAACTTATTACCCATGGATGCCAAAGCTTTAAAAAAAAGTCAGCCAATTAATAAATAACTTGTGGTTGTTAAAAAAAAATATGATTTCTTCAACTTTCAAATGACAGCTGTGCATTTTCTCAAACCAAGACAATATAGCAATTGTGTTACGCAACCACAAAAATATTTTTTAATTTTTTTTTAGATAACTGACTTAAATTTCCAGGGAAAAATCCTGTTGATTATATTTCTATTTTTTTATATGTACAGTTTACCTGTCCCTATTTATTCACATGTCATTTTCAAGTTGCACAATCTCACAATGTGAAACTCTGTCACCTGTAAGGCCTACAGACTTGTGTTTAGTCAAAAAATATCTGTAGGCCTATAGTGTTTCCAAGTGGTTTATTCTCAAAATGCAAATGAAACCAAACAAATGATTAATCCAGTCTTCCGGTAATTGAAAACCAGTGTTGGACCTGGATACTAATTGATGACAACATCATTAAACAATGCCAGTTTAGATGCTGGTACTCATTCTGATCGGATGAGTCATTACGTTGTCCCAGTATATTGGCTTGTAATATCCCAAGTAGAGCAACAAGGTTGAGTGCATGCATCCCATTGTTACCAGGGACTTTCTAAAGATTCCATGTTTAAACTGATCAATATGTGGCATCCACCCTTTAGGCTACGACCTCGCGTTGTGGGGCCATCATGTTTTTAGTTAATTAACCTCTAGCTACATGTCAAGGGCAATGCATTGTTGGGTATAGTATAATTGATCATCAATAACTGGACTGATTGGTTAACAAATGGCATGATTGATTAGGAGAATTGTAAGGCTTCTCTGTAACAATGAATAGTTCTTCTGTGATCTCTGAGTCTTCAGGATTCCTTTGTGTTGGTTATACAAACTGTGAAATCAATTATTAAAAATTGAATCATTTCAAGTTCATTTCAACTATTGATCTTTATGTTCTTGAACTTCTAAACATTGGACTTGACATCCTCCATGACCTATAGGCCCCCTATTGATTTTTCTTAAGAGTCTTGTCTCCATCATTCACCATCAATTAAAACGGGCGACTGTATGACCAAGAGATTGTCAGCTTCAAGCTTACTTGATTTGCCATTTGGTACAGAAATTATGATTTTATTGTCTGGATTGTAAACTTTATAACTTGAATGTCATTTAGCTTTGATGGGTTCAATACTTTATTGCTGTTTAGTTCAATATGAACTTGACCAAGAATGCAAGCAGGGAGGAGAATGTAGATCAGTGTCATATTGGGTGAAATTTGTCAGGATTTTTTTGGGGGGCGGGATTTTCCTGATTTCAGGATTTTTTGTCGGGATTTTCCCTGATTTCACGATTTGTTGTTGGGATTTTACTGATTTCACAATTTGTTGTTGGGATTTTACTGATTTCACGATTTATTGTTGGGATTTTCCCGATTTCAGGATTTTTGTCGGGATTTTCCCGATTTTAGCAAGAATCCCTTTTAAAATCCAGAATTTGATGATTTTAATTATAAAAGTTTATAGAACAAAAGAAATGGTAATTTTAAGGGGCGCTTTTAGGCAAATCCAATACATAGGCCTACATGTACATTATTGTACATGTACATGTACCATAGATCCTACATGTATACATTGCTGCTCTTGGGCCCTTTGGCAACCCTCTGCTGATTATTTCATAGATATTTCATTTTCCTAAATTATCACTTCTGTATTCATTGTTAAAATCATTCAGATATTTCCAAATCACTCTACTGATGAGTGGCCTGGCCTTTTTTAACCCTTGACAGTATTAGTGCTGTCAAAAAGAAGAGACATAGGCCTATATAACCTCCACAAACTTTAACAATGACAATGAAATCAGTCGTAATCAACTTTTTTTTTATCCAAGGTCTCCTTTCCGATGTCTTTGTTTCTCAACATCCCCTTTTTTGTGTCAAATCAACATATTAAAATAGGAATATATGTTTTCACCCTTTGTGATGCTTTGCAGTGCCCCACTTTTATGGAATCAATAGAATAGAATCCATAGAATGAATTTCTCTTTCTTAGTTTACGACAATGTTAAGACATATCCTACAGAATCACTGAAATGACATTAAACGTTGTAATGCAATCCTTTTGTATTCATGTTTTGGCTTTCTTTTCACTCTACAGAGGCTGCGTGCCCGACACCAGCAGAACATTCTACAGAGACTCTTGAACTCTCTCCGAGGCAACCCCCATCATGGCCACAGAGAGGGTAGCCCAGTCTGATGACCAACTAAGCATGAACTACCAGCTAACATGGAGTCGTCATGTGATAACCACTTAAAATGCTGCATCATGGGATTCCAGAACAGTGCATTGTGGGAATTCCACAACTTTGCCAATGAGAGCATTCTAAAGCCTGCTTGGGGACAGGACGCGTGATCTATTTATAGAATGCTGCTGCATTGTGGGATAGAAATGCCTAAAAGTGAAAGGACCGACTACGAGTTATTCAAAGTGCGTTGGGGGCATTTCCCTTTAAAAGTGTGTGTACTTGGATCGACAGACTACGAGACCTTACAACATGGACATAACTAGTCTACGAAATGACCCATCAGTTAAAGGACGTATTACGCAACCAAGACTTGCAATGTTTGTGAGAAGACTGTGACTTCTATTTATAAAATTTGCTGCTGCGTAAAAGGGATCAACTGCTGTTGGAACAATGGACTCATTGCAAACTAAGGACAGCATTCAGAGAAGGAAACTAGAAGGATTTGTTCATCTTTAACCATCGTGGGGACTGCAATAAGCGCATCGTGTGCTAAACAGGCTTGGGATTACCTAGATTGAACCTAAAACAGAAGAAAGATGTCTGTGAATGTGCAACGTCCTCAAAACTGTCACCGTTAGTCTCGTCATAATGTAGATCAACTGAAGAAACTCTGCAGCAGTCAGCATTGACTTGTGTACAAAATAAACAAGACTTTTAAGTTGATTTTCCGCTGTATATGAAACCTGTCAAGATGACTTATTGTCCAACCCTAATGTAGGCGACTATTGAAGTCTGGTAGTTGGATGCATAGGTTTTCTATTCTTACACTCGGATGTTGTGAATGAGTTTATGATGCCACCTGCTGTATCTCTACCATACTTTATGAGTCACATACAGATATTTGTATTATGATAAACTTAACAGACTTAAAGATTGCTTCTATGTATAATGTCTGTATATTGCTACCATACATCAGCTCAATGCTCTTAGAACCTCTTAGCTTATGCTCATATTGAACCCCCCAACTCTACTCCTCCTTCCTGCCCCCCCCCCCCAAGCATAAACGGATGCTACCTCGACTTTTGTAAAGTGTAAATTAAAGATACTTGCTATTCTCACTGGAGCAGTGTACCCAGTGCCTATACAGTATTTATGTGCTGATATTTATGTGGCAGCTACCATGATGCAAGTGCCAGTTGTTCTGATGGGCATTTTGTTAATTCTGAACCTAGGGTACGTTTAATTATAAAACAACATAGCATTACATGCTGGTTGTACGGTGGACCTTTTCAAGATGTTATCATCATTTGTGTGGTTACAACATGTTTCAAAGCAAGTCTTGAGGTTATCCCAAACAGATTGTAGTTATCAAATGTGCAAGTGCATTCTGGGCGTAACCCACCTTAATATTAATAAACATTGTCTCACGTTCTGTCCTATTTCCAGCATCCAGTTGCCAAGGAGACCTGTTTTATCAACTAATTATGGAAAGAAAGAAAAAAAAAGATAAAAAATGAATTGTTTGACTAGGGATCAATCTGATTGATTTCAAATTAAACTCATTGAAAATGAAAGAAGAACTTAAAAACCAAAGATAAACACTTCAATACTCTTTTGGCCAAAATAAATGTTTGAAACCATTTTTTTAACCTCAGAAACATGCAAAGCAAAAGAGTTCTACGATAGATGTTTTGAGCCCAATAGTTGCTATATGTGTATAAATTAAAATATGTAGTTTAAGTTATACAGTTTTGGAAACATGACTTTGTATTTATTTTGTACTTAATTTTAGCTGAAGTTATGTGTAATGTACTGTTTGTTCATAACCTACAGAAACGTTTCAGTCTTTGACTTGCTGGGGCAACATTTGATAGTACTGAGACCACAACTAATAAGAACACAGCCCTACTCTCTAGTACTCTGAATTGTACCCCTTTTACGGACTGTCTGTTTCCAACATTCTTAAAAATAAGTTCAAGAATAGATGCTTTTGACTGCAATGAGTTGACAAACTTGATGTGCTGTTTGTACTAATGCTGACTTGACAAAATGATCCGGTATGAGATAATTCCAGCAAATCTTCCCGGCAGACTGAGATTAGTGTATTGAACAATGAAGTGTTTAGATGCCAGTTTCCTGTGCCAGTTTGATCGTGGAAGTATGAGTTTAGTACTGTGTTGATGGAATTGGTGGAATGATTATGATTGATATAAATAACCAGAAAATTGCATAAAATGACTAATAATGGAATCTGCTCTTGACAATAATCTCACTCTATAATATTTCCAGAGAGTGAAAGTTCAATCTGGAATCTGGTTCAGTTTCTACTGGAAGTAGAAAGCAGATGATTTAGAGTAAAAAAAAATAAACTAATAATAAATTGAAAGAGTTAAAAACAAAACCAGAAGACTTTTTCTAGTGGAAACAGAATTGATTTGATTGAGTAAATTGTACTCTAGTTTCAGATAAAGTGAATTTTATCACTCTTCGGGAATGAGATGGCACATACTTTTCTGACTATTCACAGACAGTTTTGATAAAAGCACTTTTTCTAATATTCCTAGGGCAGTCTTTTAGTAGAAGAACCTTGTCATGAATATTGAAACCTTGTTTTCCCAAGGTTCTACTGAGGCCGTCCTCTGATTGGCTAATTACACTGTATGGGCGTGGCCAAGTTGGAAATATTTCTACAAAAGCCGTCCTTTGATTGGATACTTGTCAGCTATTTATGGGGTTATTTTGTAGAATTTAATCATCGGTGATGTAAGGGAAATGTTACTATTTTGTGAGGTAACTGTATCTGAGCGAGCTGTAGTTGTGATAATGGCCGCAATGTGGTTCTATCTTTGTAAATCATCTTAGCTTCAATTATCAGGAATCTTTGAGCCAATAGCTACCATGCAAGTTATTGTTACTTCACTGTGGAAGCCTACTAGCCTGCAGAGGCAGATTTCTGTACTAAGAGTTTTAGTTGTTGAAAAAGAAAGGTTTTGTGAAATGTTAGCAAAGTTTATCAGAAGAGAATGAAAAGACGAAAGTGCAAAGTGTATATTTATTTAATTTATTACTTTTGTGAATTTATTTATATATTTTGTTTTACTTGAATTTTTGAATGTTTTAGAATAAGCTAAAAGGAAATTGTCATGGTGCTATTATGGTGTTAAATGAACTCTGCTGAGCCTCTGAGAATGATTAATTTAAAAAGTTTTTTTTTACGCACCTTGGAACATTTCCACACAGTATGTGTAGTGACATTCCAAAATCATTAATCCATTGTAAGCCATTTTTACCATTCATAATGATCCTTTCCTCTTACGAACATATTTAAGATTCCTTCATTGTTTAGACAATCCTTTGTGCGGTTTGTGACAGTGAGTTTGGCTTAAAGATCAGTGTTTGGACAAAATGGTTCTAAGTAAGTTGACGATAGAAGGCCAAGTAGACAGGGTGAATAGATGGTCAACATTCCTCCATGGATTGGTGCTGCTGATTCGCCGTGCTGTTTTTCTTCAAGACAAACAATTAACTGGAAAACCAAACTATGACTCGATGACAGTTTGTTTTTACGTGATGGAAAGGATGGTTGTACCTAAGACATAACACCATTCCAGTATTTGAGATTGGAAACATTTGAATATTTCTACCAAATTAAATGAAGTGACCTTTTTTGCACTTGATTTTGTATACACCTTTTTGGCAAAGTTTTGAAGGCATTTTGATACTGCGAAAGTCGAGTAACGTGTTAATTGTTTGAATGTTTGATAAATGCTTGTTCAGTTTGTTTTGACGTCAGACAGATATACGATGGAAGATGCTACATGTTACTGTTGCTTATATATATATTTGAAGATGGCTCATGTCTCTCAGCTGTACTCTTAACAGAAATGTTATTTCTCTGAAATTTTCACATTTTTGGAGCAAATTTAAACCAGCATTTGCAATCATCTGATTGCTAAAATGCGTCTAGATTGCCAAACAAAAATGTAATGTATGCGCTGTTGTTCATGTACATAGCTTTAAGAGAGTAGATTAACAATTTATATGCATTACTTGTAAGTAACTTATTTAATTTAAAATAAAAAGAAGCATTGCAAAAAAACTGTAACTTCGATACTGTTAAAAAAATCACGAAGATTTAGGAGTCATGAATAATTCTTACTTCAGTTTACCGTAAACAATTAGAAATGAAGCAAGCCTACAGCTCCCTAGAAAATGTCCTGATAACAAATCTTGTCTTTCAAAGTTCAGGAAACAAGATTAGTAAAGTTTATTTTTTATTCTGAATTTTCCCGATAAAACAAAGAATCCAGATTATCATTCCTTCTTCCTTCGTTGTACTTGTTAATATTTAATATATACAGGATCAATCGATTGAAACCTTGAAAAAGAATATAAAAAGCTTTTCCTTTGTCTGAATGATCAATGAAATCGTCTCCTAATAAGGCATGACAACCAGTCAGTTGTAAATGTTAGATTTGTCTAAAAAGGGTTTGTTTTGGGATCTTTTGTGTGGTGTTTAGTCGGCGTAGCGTTACGATAATCGGCGGCGATCTGCGATCATTTGTGCTTCCACTTTGTTGTAAAGGGCTGGTTCTGTAGAAATTGCAGAAATATCATTTTTGACGAGGTCATGTACTGATAAGAAAAAGACAAATTTGCAATGGTGATGTAGCCAATTTCTGATTCGACTGGTTGATAACCTAGTATGGAATTACCTTATGATATTATGTGATTGTTTACGAACTTCAATTTTTTTGCCCGATACACAGTTTTCTTGCAATTCTTTTCACAGCTTAAAGGAATATCCAAAACGCATTTTATTCAGAAATGTTATATTGTGCGTAGAAGTACGCGCATAGCGGAATGGTTAAGTATTTATTATGCCATTGTTCATTTTTTTGGTCGACAACTCTGCGTAAGCCGTTTTGCAGACAGCAAGTGCAATCCTGGTAAACGACACTCAATATTTATTATTCCTGATACCATTTTGCTTCAATATTTATTATTTATTACACTAAGGCCAACTTGTCGATGGAAGTTGCAACTTGCTTTTGTTCTTGGGACATTTGGATTGCCAGGTTATATTATTTGTTTCCTTTGGCAAAGAGAGATGAATTTGTTTTCATGATCAGAAGAATGGTGAATCAGAAGAATTTGCGAATGTTAAATTTGTAATGAAATCTGTACAGTTATAATCAAGAACCGTTGATCATTTGTTTAAAAAAACTAGGAAAAATAAAGAGTTACAATTGTCGGCTTTTGTAATGCATTTTTGTAAGGATTAAAGCACTCGTACTGTAAATTGACTGTACATAATGTTTAATTATTCGCAATATTTCATCATTGAATTAAAGACAAAATTAATTGATAAACTTAAACGCTGGCACTCCTGTCCTTACTTTGTGTAATTAGGGGTTATTTTGGTCTCCGAAGGTCTCAGAATCGCTAGCTCTGACCCTTGAACATCAAACAGCATATCAACAATTGTCAACTATTGTGTTTTAGGCCAAAAAAAAAGTCTCCGGTTTCTGGTATGGAGCTTGTCCAAAAGTGGTGCGGTGACGCGGCTTTTTTTTTTTTTACCTGACTTTTTTGCTTCAAATGTCGGCTGATGACTGCAAATGGTGCCCAACTAAACTTAGAGAAAATATATGGGAGTCCAGAGAGGCCACATAAAGCTTATTCTCGATCATAACCCCTTCTATAAACACGTTAAAATTGTGCAGCAGCAGGATTCCAGTCAAACCAGTGAGTTTGGCGGTTTTGAGACATCATCTTTCATTGAAAAAAAACTTTTTCATTTTGCCGACGCGCATGGCTACGGCGACGCGCGCGCATACCAGAAACCGGAGACTTTTTTTTTTTGGCCTTACTTAAAACTGTGTCGTTTTTTCTTCACCCTTTCATCTTCCGATCTGATGGTACATCCTAGAGATAATATAACCTGTCCTTGCGCGAACACCTTACAGCCCGTGTATTATGACAGCACTACTGAGTAAACTTTGTGGCTTTGCGTTGTGCAGGTTCCAGACGTAAACAAAAATGATTCCCCGAACAGAAATCTCACACAGAACAATGACGGATAATATTGATTGATTGACGGTGATAAGTGTTTACAGGTTGAAGCACCGTCTCGAACGTATAGAGGTGGTGTTCTCGTTCAAAGTGGGTGGCAGGTCGGTCGAGGACAATTTTCTCCTCGGTGGGTACAGCGTTGTATTGAAATGATGGTTTTTGTAATACGAAGGACTTTGTTCTACTTTGTTCAGGATTCTCCTTTTAAACAGAATTTATGGCAAATAAGATTTGAAGGTAAAGGCAGCAATAAGATAAAGATTGACGGTAGCACCATGTGACAAATCTCTTTTGTTTTTGGTTGAGTTTGGCAGGTTCTGAAAAGAACCGGGGGAACTCAAAGAACCGAGGGAACTCAACGTTTCGGACAGTATACTCTGCCCGTCGTCAGGAGACTGAAGGACTTATTGCACTGAAGGGCTACCCAAATAACAGTGGGGGGGGGGGGGGGGGCTCATTTTCTGGAGGGGGCATTCTATGGGTTTTTAACAATAAAAATGCTCGTTTTTGCCTTCCCCGAATTGTAGAAGGTAAAAGTAGCAACATGCTTAGTCGGAAACAAAGTAAATAAGATGAGTCATCGGAACTTTATCACTATTTGATGCCACATCGCCTTGGTCGACATAAATTAAACCATGGAGGAATAAAAACCAGCAGCAGAAAAACAAATCAAGTTGATATGACACCAGCAAGTCTGTCCACAAGACCTTCTCACCAGGGGGTAGTCGAGTTATTATTGTGACGAGAGTCATAATACTCGTGTGTTGCTGCCTAGTTGATTTGGAGGCAGCACAAGTTTGGCACACACCCTTATTACAATCGACACGCGATGGTCGCAGCGCTGTTTGACCTCAGCGGGGCGTGAGGTCAAATTATACCACAGACCCCAGTGCGATTCAAGTTATCATGGACAGTTATAATTTGATTGCAATCAAGATTTGACAACCGCAAGGGTTGGAATTGATGATTAATGACTTACTAAGTGAACCTCGACTTTTTGCGTTACCTTTGCGTGACAAATCAAAGTTTATATCACACCGCACAACAATGAATGTTTGTTTTGTGCCGACCAAGATTTTTGATGTGCGTTTTTGCGATTCTCTTCAAGCCTGCTACAACTTTGCAGTATACTGAGGTATGATGTACAGTGTAGGGATTCTCTAGAACTTTTAATTGTTTATTTGACCCTCACTACAAAGTCCATATCGGGGAACTGTGTTTTAAAAAAAACTTGATTTTTGAATCTATTAGCAACTGTTGTAACATGCAACAATAGTAAGTTTATAGTTGGAACATAACTTTGCTGCGGGTTTAACGGGAGGAAGGGCGGGGTTTTCAATGTGGAGGGGGGATCATGACCGCATGGTGCCCGATTGTGGTACTACTACGTATGACGAGAGAAACCCTGTTTCTCCTCAAGAAAAAAATATGACCAAAACATGTCCCCAGCTGAGTTGAGAAGAATCAGTAGCCAGGTGGGGGTAAAGTAGAAAAGAAAAAAGTCTTGAGGCCTTGAGGGTTTGTTTTCTTCAAGTTCGCGTGTCTGTGTCGTCTGCTTGGCTTATTAGACCCGTGGTCTGGCTCAAGTTTCCCCCTTGTCAACCCCAGCCGGCGCGCGCTCAGTCGTAACGACTCGTGCTTACCAGGTGAAACCCATAGATGATCATACTTGTGGTTGAACCGGTGTCTGCATCGACACAGGATAATGGCAGAAATCTGATACAGGATGGCCAGAAAACAAGCGTACTTGTTGAGAAATATGATCTTTAAGTTGGGTTTAATTGATGTGATATGAGTACAGAGACCCGCAGGGAGGATGCACTGTTATTGTTTATTTTGTCTACGGATTGCGATGACAAGAATAGTGGCGAGACTGATATCTTGCAAAATATTTTCTTAAGTGATGTGATTCTGAGTCAACCTTTTAATTTGTTCAACCATAGAAGGAAAATAATCATCTCATGATAGGTCGTTCTGTCGTTTGTATTCATCCACTATGCCAACTTAACTCCTTTTTTTCTAAATAAGACCATAGAGCAACGAACAGACAGACACTACATCGTCTACGCTAAAACTGCGGAAAAAGTAGGCCTGTGGTTTTTCCTTTGTTCAGTTTTATTTCTACCAATCCATCCCAAAATATCGATAGGCCTATCTTGTTTTGGTCTGCGGTTTAAGCCTCCTGACATTCAGGCGAACAATCAGACGTCAATTTTCTGGCAGGGGCCGTATCATAAGTCCGACGCCTCATAGGTCCGACGCCTCATAAGTCCGAAATTTCGGACTTATGAGGCGTCGGACTTATGAGGCATACAATTTATTAATTCCGCTTCATAGATCCGACGCCTCATAAGTCCGACGCCTCATAAGTCCGACAAATTAAACGCCTCGTTTTTACGTTGTCGGACTAATGAGGCGTCGGACTTATGAGGCGTCGGACCTATGAGGCGTCGGACTTATGAGGCGTCGGACCTTTGAGGCGTCGGACTAATGGGCCTTTATTTGGTTAGGGGATGCGATTTTGTCGGACTTATGAGGCGTCGGACCTATGAGGCGTCGGACTTATGAGCGGACCCCTTCTGGCAAATAGCCAAAACCACTAGCGCAGCCAACCGGCCGGTGTGGAACACTCTCCGGTCATATTTTTACCTGACTGTTGTTTGATTGTCATTGTTTAAAATATAGGTGTAGCAGGGATTTCACACTTAATAATTGTTCGTACGATTTCGAAATTTGGGGAAAATCTTGAGCTAGATCAAGAGTAAGAGAATGGACGTAGTTCATTTGTGATTCGATCAGTGCATTCCCCTGGCAAAGCTTGAAGAAAAAATAAACATTTGATTTAGTGAGTGTAGCGTTAGGGAATAATAGTCTTTGTTACAAACACATTGTCATCGTATGATTAATGTTGGCACTATTCCAAGATCAATTTAGAACTGACGCAGTACGTAATATGCCTCGGTGTATCGCAGCACCACTTGTTCCTTCCTCTTTGCGTATTAAGTTTCTCCTCTGAAACTTTTTTTCTCGCATCTAAAAATACGGTTGGTTTTTGCAAAGGGACATTTTGGGGATTTAGGCCGCAAAGTATTCTGTCAACAATTATGGGCCAAGCTGTCTTTGGTGAAATTATAAACATCGGTGCGTAAGCCTATAGTTTGTTAAATGTTGACAGTAAATTTCTGGCCTGATAAAAAAAACTCTTTTGGAGTAAAGGTGAAGTGATAGATTGGGAGTAGGCTCTATTTCTAAGATGGCCAGCTAGGATCCGAACCTCTCAATACTCAACGAACAGCGAACGGCAAAGCGAGGTGAAATATTGGTTCCTTAGTGAGTGATGAAGAATGCAAAGAGTTCAAATTAATAAAGCAGCATTACTCCACTATCTCCGATGTTACAGAGGCTAGGCGTGATGCAAAGACAAGGGTTGTCAACACTTTCTTTATCCTCTGGGCCCCGACTTTATTTGCTTCCTACCTGGCAATGTTCACTGACGGACTGTCTTGTCCCCATCCCTCCCCTTTTCTCTTCATCAATTTCTAATGTTCCGAAGCTAACTGTTCCTGCATGAATGGTTTCTTAACCATGTCTGGCGCTTGCTTCAAACCTTGACCAAGACGAGGGAAGAGCCGGTGCGTCTGCACACGCCTACAATGTTGATCGTGTCGCCTTCTTCCTAATCAGGCGTGATAAATCAGGTGTTGTCATCGCTGCGTTAACAACCATGGACGAGACAAAAACGAGACATAGAAAATATTGAGAAAATTTCAGAAGTAAGGCCATGTATGATTTTTTTTCTGAAAGGATGTTTTATGTGAACATTATACTGAATGCGAAGTAATTAGAATCTCAATTGCTTTGCCAGACATCGATATTCTAGTCAGTTTTCTGTCGAGTGACGGAACCAGACAACCTTCGTCGCACGTTAAGTTTTTGTTCTAATTTCTTCTCGAAAGAAAGATCGTTTGTGTTAAAGGGAATATACATCATTTGCTTTTGCTGTAATTTTCAGAAATGGATGGAATTGGGGGGTTGGAAATATATAGCAAATATAGTTACACTGACTTTTTTGAGGTTTTGGGTTCGAAAATGCTATAAAAACCAAGAAAAACAATCATTTTCCTGTAGTCTGGTTCCCTGACTCCATATAAGAAGAAACAGAGCAGTTTACATATATTGGGGAATTGTAAGGTCAGGGAACCAGTCTAGCTGGCTTGCACCCGTTCATAGGTGTGTAATCGATTGCAAACAAGTGCGATGGTCAACTGGGGCCAGTATTTGACAAAAAGCCATTTTTTTCCAA